CTCCGCGTACTAAAGTTGTACTACCAAGTCGCCAGTTCTCATCTTCCCGCTCCCCAGCTACTCCGCGTACTAAAGTTGTACTACAAAGTCGCCAGTTCTCAGTTCTCAGCTTCCAGCTCCACAGATTGCTCCGCGTACTAAAGTTGTACTAGAAACTCACCAGTTCTCAGCTTCCAGCTCCACAGCTACTCCGCGTACTAAAGTTGTACTACAAAGTCGCCAGTTCTCAGCTTCCAGCTCCACAGATTGCTCCGCGTACTAAAGTTGTACTAGAAAGTCGCCAGTTCTCAGCTTCCAGCTCCCCGGCTACTCCGCGTACTAAAGTTGTACTACAAAGTCGACAGTTCTCAGCTCCCAGCTCCACAGATTTCTCCGCGTACTAAAGTTGTACTAGAAAGTCGCCAGTTCTCAGCTTCCAGCTCCCCAGCTACTCCGCGTACTAAAGTTGTACTACAAAGTCGCCAGTGCTCATCTTCCAGCTCTCCAGATACTCTGCGTACTAAAGTTGTACTACAAAGTCGCCAGTTCGCAGCTCCCAGCTCCACAGATTGCTCCGCGTACTAAAGTTGTACTAGAAAGTCGCCAGTTCTCAGCTTCCAGCTCCCCGGCTACTCTGCGTACTAAAGTTGTACCACAAAGTCGCCAGTTCTCAGCTTCCAGCTCCACAGATTGCTTTCGCGCGCTTGACACGCACGATCTCCGCAGAGGGTTGCGCGGGCACCCGCCAAATCGCACTCTCGCCTGCATTTCGCGCACTCGACACGCACGATCTCCGCAGAGGGTTGCGCGCGCAGCCGGCGAATCGCACCCTCGCCTGCATTTCGCGCACTCGACACGCACGATCTCCGCAGACGGTTGCGCGCACACCGGACAAATCGCACTCTCGCCTGCATTTCGCGCATTCGACACGCCCGATCTCCGCAGAGGGTTGCGCGCGCACCGGACAAATCGCACTCTCGCCTGCATTTCGCGCACTCGACACGCACGATCTCCGCAGAGGGTTGCACTTTCGGTTGACGCTGTTCGTCCCGCACTCCGCCTTTAAGAGAGAATTTATAAAGTGGGGAAATGTTTTTTCATTAGGACATCTCCCGTGCTAGTTTTCCATACTCACACTTGCCTACTCATTGCATGCTTGTATACTCATTGCATGCTTGCATACTCACCCTTGCATATCATGCTTGCATACTTACACTTGCATACTTTGACACTGGCATACTTCGCACTTGGATGCTTTCGCTCTTCCAGTGTGTGTGTGTGTAAGTGTAAGTGTCGAAGTGTAAGTGTTCAAAGGATTTTCCGGAAGAACCCTTCGCAATGCTTTCGGGAAAAACTATCACAATCATGGAAGCAACAAGCCATGAAATGCGAAGTCAACATGAATTGGGATCTGCTCCAGTAATACCATCAACCCGCAAGAAGTACAACAATGGCAGTTTGCGCAAGGATTCAATCTTTTTAGGGCTCACTATTCAATTGGTACACGCAAGCGATTGACCTGCTTCGCCCACGGGTCTTTTGCAACAACTGCCTGTTTGGGTCCAAAACCACAAGCTGGTGGCATGAACACCCATTGCTGCGATGTCAGAGTGAACCCACGCCTTGAAATCTAAGAATTCACCTCACAATGCGGGTTTGTCTTGGTCGACTTTCTCCTTTTATTTTTCCTACCACAGGCCACTGCAGCCCCTCTGAGTTCTGCTAGGCTGCCTCGGTTGGTGAGCTGGGCGTTGGCTCACGAACCTTGGTTCGTGGGAGTCGGATGGTGGGTTGACCCAGTCGACCAAGGTCGGACATGACTCGGCGGCCTGACTCCCTGGAGCTCCAGGCACCAGGGATGGGAAGAAAAGAAGAGAACCTACCCCTTCTTGAAAAACTGGGACATGACATGACAGACCTGCGTGAAAGTCATTGTCTGATCTTTTGTTGACTTCGTGCCTTTTTCGTGAGTGTACAAATTCTTGAGATGACAACCAAACAAGACTACAAACCACACCATAGAAATTGATTGGGTGAAAAAATGACACTTGAGATCCCTTGACGCTGTCCCCAACATAGTTTTGCTCTTGAAATTGCGAATGAAATATATTAATATTATCCGTCTACTGAATGGAAGCACATCTCTCAAACATTTACTTGATAGTTGCGAGTTGTTTTCATTTCAAAGTACTTTCAAGAACGCATTGCTGAAATCATAAAACTATACTAGAAAATGTATACAAATATCTAAAATATAATCATCTATAATTCTATAATCTAGACTACAACTATACTCAGACTTTCTGGCTTTCTGGTTCGCCCGAATATGGCCGCCCTACAAAGCGAGCCCTAGCGTTTCTGAGGAAAAACACTGGCTCCAAGTGGTGCAGGAATTCTTGCACCAACAGTAGTGATAGCACCTTCCTTTTCAGGAAGGAGACTAATCTCACCAGCACGAACAATTTCTTCTTTGTCATGTCTTCTGCGAGGTGGGTACACTATGCCAGGAGTAATCAGCACAAGACACGTCATACTTCCCTGTGCCTCCAACTGGATGTGTAGTAGCACGGTATTCTCAACATCCCTGGAATCTGGTGGGAAGAACTAATTCTTAATATATCATGATTGGTGTGGCAAGACCGTTGCAAAGCACGTCGAGAGCAAGACCATTATATCGTCAGACTTGAACTGATGCGACAAATGCCCATAATACCGAGCTGCTTGATTCAGTGACATCCCCGAAGCACCTGCACCTGGATGCGACATCGCAACCTCAGGGTCAAGGGTGGATGCACCTTTGACAAGCGGAATACAATTGCACAGCATTTGCACATCTACCCCCTCATATTGTCATCAATACGCCCGTGCGTGAAAGATAACGGCAATGCTGAAAGCAAACAACTGTATTCGAAGCACATCTAACCAGCATGCGGAAGAAGGTGGTCTGCAAGTCCAGCACTTGAGTATTTTCTTACCACAAAAAATGGCAAACAACTTCACTATAGTTTGCCAAGCTGCATGGTCGAGGGGCATGTTGGCCGCTCTCTGACATTGGTCATTGAACCCCTGCTTGAGCATCTGTGCCTTCCAAGCTTCAAGAGTGACTAGCAGCAGTAGCAAAACTATTGTAAAACTATGAGCAGTCAGGCAACGCAATTCCAAAGCTTGAACACGTGCTCGGGCACTTTCAAAGACGAGTTGCTTGATTCAGCATGCCAAAAGTACCTGGATGCCTGCTATAGCCACCAACAGTGCTACTCACCTCAGTGGCAAGGGGCTGCACTTTTGACAACTGCCATCCATGCACATCGATCGTCTCACACGTGCCCTTTAGAACATGTTTCAAAACACAAACGGTTAATAGAACAAACAACATGATCAACAATGATACTCCTGACCAGTTGCAACAAGGCTTGACAAGAAGCGCGTGTACCCCTTTCAAACTATATGTTTCAGAAACCATGGTTTACCACACAGGCGAAAACAACCACCACTACCATGAAGACAACCACGACAGGCAAGCTGCATTGTCGAACGACGTCTGAGTGGCACTCTGGCATTGTTCATTGAACCATTGCATCGGCATCCCAGCCTTGAACTTGAGAACGCCAACAAGTCGAAAACGCTAGAACGATAAGAAAACAAGGACGCTGTCTGCAAACAATCCAGTTCCGTGAAAATTCAACAGACTCTGCAAAAAGCAAAATCCGAACGTGAGGACTTAAGGAAAAAGAAGCTGATAAGGCTACCAAAAGTGCTACAAACACTCGGTATACCAAGGTGCCTGATTCAAAGGCATGCCAAGATTGCCTCCATGCTGGCCCATTTGGCCACCAACCTACTTGTCAACGGGACTGGCATACACACTGACAATGGACGTGTTTTCGGATCTGTCTGTGTCACACCTGCCATGTCAATCATCCTTCAAAGACAACCACTAGTTGATGTTAGAAACTAATAGACATACCAAAATATATCAACTGTTACTGTAGTATTACTTGTGTGTATAGACTTAGACACATACAATTATTACCATATATGTTATTATATATGTAGGAAAATATATGTTGACTGTGCGTATAGTAATATAGTGTATGTTTTCAGTAGCGCGAGACATCCCAAATCCCAAGTAGGACTCAGCGGAAACTTGCTAAGGAATAGCCGTAAAAAGTGGTTCGCTGCACTGGCAGATATGCCCTGGCTGCTCTCTAGTAAGGAGTTGTTTCGTTGGACTATGGACCGCTGGTCCGTAGTGGACTTTTGTCCAGTATATATGTCTTAAAGTTTTATGTTAGTTATGGCCATCCGTAAGGTCCTACAACTTTTGTGCCAAGCTGCGTTGAGCATCTGACTGGCACTTTGGCGCTCATTGAACCGCGGCATCGGAGCCTTCCATCCAGAACTCATGAAGTGAATCCCCCAAACAATGGAAGCCGCAAACAATGGAACAACGCATGGCAAACCCATGTTATATGATTTGCAATTCCTGAACCCTGGCAGCAGCTGGTCTTGACGGACTGTTTGCACTCATGTTTTGTTTTATCCGTTTGGATCCTCTTGGTAACTTGCACATGAGTTTCAACCGCTCGTGACGCTGAGCAGCTTGATTCAAAGGCATGCCAAGATTGCCTCCATGCTGGCCCATTTGGCCACCAACCTAAGTCTTAATGGGTGAAACCTGTTGACAACTGGTCTATCTGTCTTGCATCTGCCACGTGTCAGAGCATCATCACCCTGCCTGTCAAAAACACCCACCAGTCTTGAAACAAAATGGCAGTGCAATCTCTTTGTGTTTTGCATTGCCTTTGTGTTTTGCATTGCCAATGACACCACATGAAAACACATGCTGGGAAGTGCACTTAAAAAGGTGGTTGGTCAACAATGTTCAATATACAATTGAAATAGTGCAACACCACTTATGAAACAAACATGCACTTTAACCTCTAGGGAACGGTTTAAAAACAGTCGCAAATACCTTTCGGTGGTATTTCGATGTTCGCTTGATTGTGTGCAGAGAGGGGCCAACATCCTCGACCCATTGGTTCTTCCATAGTGCTCTACAACTTTTTGACACCCATCTAGACATTTTGATGAATTTGCGTTTCTTGTCGAAATTATCATTTTGTTTCTTTTCGGTTCTTCAGTTTGTCCCATGCTAAGCTGATTTGTTTCCGGCTTTCTATGGCACCAACCCGCCCCCATGTCGAAATATTGAAAACACAGTTTCCTCCCAACGCCTTGTCGTGGTTAGTTCCTCTACCTCTACGCTTCCTTAGTTAGTCTAGTTAATTTCTTCCATCACTGCGTTGCTTGTGGTATGTATCTATTTGTTTATGACCTCATGTTCACACATGTAACTGTTGCCTCTGTTGTCTTGCTCACAAGCAGTGACTTTTCTCAAGGTGTATTCTCTTGATACAGTCGATGTCTATTTCTTGCTTATTCTAAACTTGGATACTGTCATCTCTAATAGTGCTGAGAACAAAAGACATATTTCAAGACAACGCAAAAAACTTGTTTGGTCGCCATGCCAACATATAAGCCGACCCCAGTCTAGGACAAGCGTGAGTGGAGCGAGGCCGGCGTGTTCATGAGAGGGACTCCGGTGAGAGGTGGGACGATGCTGGTTAACCGTCACGTTGCCGACCTGCCAAACAGTTGACAAATGTTGAAATTCAAGATTGTTTTGCGGGAAAAGCGTTGCCAAAGAATTTGGCCTCTGGTTCGACTCTCCCCTCACCCCCTTTGAGTTCAGGCATGGGGCCATATTGGGGTGTGGTCTCAGGTGCGCTGACAAGAAAGTGGACGGCCACATCAACCCCGCGCTCGAGGCCTCCAAGAAGAGGAAACATGGTTTACGGACGCGCGCACGCGACGCGAGGGTTCGTGCTGGATGTTTCGGAAGCTTGTTAGACACATGTTGGTTGAAACGGAGTGTTCCGGCTTCAAAAGTGACTCGGGACGGTCCAATGTCCAACACAACACCTTGGATATAGGACAAACTGATGCCTCCGGCTCCCGTTTTTTGAGCTACGTCTTTTTCAGGGGATCCTTTGAAAAACCCGCCAAACTCCTCAAGCTGCTCGCTTCACGTCCTTCTTTGAGTTTGCGTTCTGAATCTGAAGCCGTAAGTTACCTGTAAGTGACACACAATTGGCACGGTGGATGTCAACTCTAGACTCAAACGCTCCTCCAAAACCGTGAGGCCAGCGTGCCTCCAGCGTGAACCGGAACTATAGGCCCCAGGACATGCATGCTTCGCTAGGCAATTTTCTGTCCTCTTTCATCCTCTTTCCCTTCCATTCGAAGCCTTCCTTGTTGCTTTGTTTGTAGGGGGCCCACCACCAATTCAGCTGTCACTATCAGCTTTAGTGGCGTTTCCTTGGCAAAAGTCAGGGCATGAAATGCCCACGACAGTCAGAGGTGCTGTGGCTTTGTTAGAATTAAAAACGTGGTCCTTTCCGATCCTCTCCCTGAACTGGATCGCTGAACATCGCTGAACTACACCGTCGGGCCCCAGCTCCCCGGCCCCTCTCGGGGTCGGCGGCCCCCTTTTACGCCTCAACAGTAGCTCTTCGCCTCTTGGCTAGATTTCCGTTTGTGGATGACGCCTTTACGCCATGTAGATATCTCAATAAAGAACTTTCCCGACAAAGGAAGAACCTCTTAGAACGACCACATTTAGTTGAAGTGCTTTATGGAAGCGACATGGATAGACCTTGACCTTGCTTCTAGAATACACATTTAAACAAATAGAGTTTGATCAAGAACGGAGTCTGATCAAGGAGAGGAAGTGTACAAAGGAGACACGTGTAAAGGAGGCTTTGGGAGAAAATAGGATGTTTGCATGGAGATGTAGGTTGTACCAAGGACGGCGTGTGCTTGGTTAAGGCATCCTTTTTGACGGTTGAACAAGAGTGGACAATGGCTGGACCGAAAAAACAGATTTGGACAAAACTTCCATTAGTAATTTTTAATATTCAAAACACACTGCTCATGTTCAAAGTTTCTTAAAGTTGCTTCATACTGAGTTGGACTCGCTTTAATCGACAAATAGATATCAGTAGGATATGCTATTACAAGAGTTTATGTGTAACAAATGAATTGACCAAATGCAACATCAAAAGTACTTAAAATGTGCACTCCCACAGGCTGTAATATATAATATATAGTTTTATAATTATGTTTTCAGTAGCGCAAGACATCCCAAGTAGGACTCAGCGGAAACTTGCTGAGGAATAGCCGTAAGAGTCTCTAGTAGCGAGTTGTTTCGTTGGACTATGGACCGCTGGTCCGTAGTGGACTTTTGTCCAGTATATATGTCTTAAAGTTTTATGTTAGTTATGGCCATCCGTAAGGTCCTACAACTGTTGTGCCAAGCTGCGTTGAGCATCTGACTGGCACTTTGGCGCTCATTGAACCACTGCATAGAAGCCTTCCACCCAGGACTCATGAAGTGAACTCCCAATCAATGGAAGCCGCAAACAATGGAACAACGCATGGCAACACATGCCAAATGAGTGACGTCATTTATTCAGTACCAGACTCAAATACACTGTCTCGTTCAAACAACTTTAGCGTCACCCCAAAAAGTATATTGTTTATGATCGTTTACGTGGGGGCCCTGTCTTGTTCACCAGCGAATGCTGACGGTGGACAAACAAATAGAACATGCCCCAGACTTCTTTAGTAAAGAACATGTAAAATTGAATAAAAGTGGATGCTCATTTCATTTTGCAACTCCTGAACTCTGGCAACAGCTGCTCTTGACGGACTGCCTACCGAACTACCTATATACCTACATTTGTCTTTTTGAAATCTATCAATGTGTCGCAAAAGCTCAGGACGTTGACATCCACCTTCTCATATCTACGGGCGTCGCCAAAAGGTCCTGTCTTTGAACATGTCCGGAGTTTTAAACGCAATTCCTCTCAAAGTCCACAAGAACGCTCCTCAAAGAAAGGAAACACATTGTCAAGAACATCACAACACCTTTATGATAGCAAGCAAGCTGTTTGTTGCCTGAAACAGCTAACCATAACTAGCCAAACACCAAAATAGGTCGTACCTTGCGCTGCTACCTGGTCATTTTATCAGTACTTTGGGAAAACATATCCAAATAATTGACAAGCATTCCAATAACTCAAGTCCCCCTGAAACCACCCCAGGTGAAACTATATATGTACAGTATATACTCTGTACATTAGGCACTTGAGTACTTCGTCAGGAGTCTGTGCACCCCTTGCAACAATATGCTGCCAGCAACTTAGCCAAGCTGCATGGTCGAGAATGTCAAGAGGCAGATTAGCCGCGCTCTGGCATTGATCGTTTATCCCGCGCATGGGCATCGGTGGCAAAGCTGCCTTTCAAGATCGAAGACTGAATAGGCAAGATTATGAACACCCAGGCAATCCAAGGGGATCCCATTGTTGCTCAAACAACATGAACATCAAAAGCAAGATTCCAAAGTTTCAACAAGTGCTCGGGCACTTTCAATGCCAGGCGGCTTGATTCAGGAGCATGCCAGGAGTGCCTGAATGCCCGTCATAGCCACAAACCTCAGTGTCGCTCCGTGGCAAATTGAATACTGGCAGTGACTCAAATCGACGCTTTCACACCTGCAATGCATCATCAAAAACAGTCAGTGTGTAAACAACAACCCATCATGGGTATCCGGGTATCACTTATCAGGTGTTGGAGGAAGTGACTCCTAGTCGTAAGCAATTCTTTATTGCCACTTAAAGCAACTGTCGTACGTTCCTCGTCAAATTGTGCCATTCATGGGCAATTGCTTGCAATGGACACCAAGCTGCATTATTAAACGGCATGTGAGCTGGACACTGGCATTGTCGATTGGACTCTTGCATCAGCATCGGAGCCTGACCCACTGGAACGCTGGCAAAACATGTTTAAACCCCAATACATCAAAGGGAGTGGCCCAGCGAGCAAACGCATGTCGAGGGAGTAACCTTCCGACAACCTGCAGTCAGCAATGTTTTGTTGACTCAACAAACCTGAAGAATCCTTGGATTCGATATATATATATATAATATATTGATTCGATAGACCTGGGCTAGCCACACAAATGCAGTGAGCTGGGTCAATGGAGCGCCATGACACAGGGCCACCAAAAGCCTCGACCTGGCGATGAAAGGCTGCCTGATTCAAGGGTGTCTCCATGGAGGTTGGATGGCTTGCACATGGGCCAGCTCGCAAAGACTGCGGTACCTCAGATGCGTCTTCGAGTTTCGGGATCTCACTAAAACAAATGAACATCCACAATTTGTCTTCAAGTATGAACAACAAAAAACGGCTTTTCACACACATGGTGGAAACGGCTCAATTGCCAGGCTGCATCATTGAAAGGCAGGCTACCAGCACGCCACATGTCAGACCCCGCCGGTCCCTGGGACTTCGAAGATCGACAGAATAAGCCGAGGTGGAAAGCATAAACGATATACTACTAGCCATGGCCTCCAACCTGAGAGCTATGGCCTCCAACCTATTAGCGATGTCCTCCAACCTAAGAGCGATGGCCTCCAACGTAAGAGCGCTGGTTTCCAACCTACTAAGAACAATGGCCTCCAACCTAAGAGCGATGGCCTCCAACCTATTAGCCTCCAACCGATTAGCGATGGCCTCCAACCTAAGAGCGACGGCCTCCAACCTAAGAGCGACGGTCTCCAACCTAAGAGCACTGGCCACTCCCAACCCAAAAGCGATGGTTTCCAACCTAGTAGCGATGGCCTCCAACCTATTAGCGACAGCCTCCAACCTTAGAGTGATGGCCTCCAACCTAGGAACAATGGCGCTCCAACCTAAGAGCGATGGCCTCCATCCTATCATAGCCATGTCCACAAAGCTCAACTGAATAACTTCAAACAGACTGGTGTTGTCACATGTTGTCACTTTTGGACTGTCGGATCTTGTAGTGTCTTGCGTGCTCCATGGTGAACCAAAATGCACCCGATGGAACCGTATTGGTTGCAAACACCTGGAAATGCCAAGCTGCCTGATTGTTTGCGTGCTTGTGGAACGCTGGATGATAGTACAGAGATTGGTCGCTCGCTCCCGTCAGCGTGCGTGGCGCCTTCCAAACATGTGGAACGTGCGTGCAACATTGGCCCACGGTGACGGGGTTTCCTAAAAATATCACAAGCAGGCAGTGCCTATGTTGACAGCAAACCAGGGCTATCAATGACTCGTCAAGTGTGTGTTAAGCAACTAAATATAGGAATCACAGCAGTTTGCAAGGTTTTTGTTTCGAAGGGTAAGAACATCAGTGTCTGTGAATGGGCTGAGCCATGCTTGACATAGCTTCGCATTGCTTCGCAACACCTGTTTGTGAAAACAATTTTCAAACAAATATGGGTATTGGCAAGTGAGACCTGATATAGAAATTTTCCGGTCACCCATTGGTGGAAAAACATGATTAGAAAAAAACCAATGGGTCTGATATGACTCGGTGATCAACCCTGGTGCCGGCCTTTCAGTTTTATTCGGTGTCTGGGTGTATTGGTACGTAAAGGCAACAAGGTCAGTCAACTATAAAGAAAACACACCGTATAAATATAGATAAATCAATAAGTCAAGAAACAAAAAATATATGTTTTCCCCACATTGACGTGTGGGGTTTCTGTTTTCAGTGTTGTATCCGCCGGGTCTTCCTCCGCTTCCTCCCGTCCTCCTTCTTATACATCACTCACCAACACCAACCACCAACCAACCACCACCCACCACCCACCACCAACCAACCACCACCAACCACCAACCACCACCAATCACCAACCACCAACCAACCACCACCAACCACCAACCGCCAATGGTGCTCTGCACCCCTGTCGAATGTACGCCATGGCGTTCTATGGTGTCGGCCTCTCTGCCCGTGGCTTTTGGGTGGCAGGCGCAGGACTTGGTGCTCTAGTGCTCTGCAAGGGGTCGGATGTACGCCCTGGCGTTCTGTCGTCTCCTCCGCTCTGCCGGTGGTTCGGAGGACTTGGTGCTCTGCCAGGGGTCGGATGTACGCCCTGGCGTTCTCTGGTTTCCGCCGCTCTGCCCGGGACTTGGTGCTGTGCAAGGGGTCGGATGTACGCCCTGGGGTCGTGGCTTCGACTGATTCAAAGCGGCCTTGGTTTGAGAAAAACATCCGATTCAAAGCAATCACTATTGGGACTGAGATCACGGCTGCCATCAATCACCGTCGCGTCTCCGGTCATGGCATTGATGATGCGCATATTCTTCCTCCGGTGCCTCTCAAGGCTGCTTAATCTAAAAAGATTCAATGAGCCGCTGCGACTGAAGCCAAGAGCCGACCAAGGCGGCAAACGCGAATCATCCTAAGTAGCAGAAGTAAAGAAGCATTATTGATACCGCCGCCCCTGGCCTGAAAAGATTGATTTGTTCAAAAAATGAGGCCATTGCCATGGAGGCACGTTGCCCCACGCTGGTTGAGCAAAGCAGCTGCAGATCAAATCGAATAAAGTTTGAAAGCACTGTTCAATGCATACGAACACCCAATGCTGTTTTCACATGTATGTCCTTCAAATACAAAACTCACTCATTAGGAGTACAAGTGCTGGGAATCTTTCAATCCTGTTCTTTATGGCAAGCCTTTCAAAAATAGGGCTTACATTTTAAGATCTAAACAACGGAGAGAGGGGACAATCACAGCAAACAGGCGTCCATCCATAGTGTCCACCTCAAAACCCCGTCCAGGCCTAAACTTGAACAGCTTTTGGTCACAATCACGTCATCGTTTACTTCAAAGGCTTCGCCAACAACAAGGGTCTTGTTTCCTGGAGCAACCGTCACGCCCTGAGCAGCTATGGCTGGAAACATACCTCGAAGTTTGGAGCCAAAGGGATCCGCAGTGTAATCCAACAAATTGTCCAAATCCACGTGACACAAGTCGACAGGAAATCCCACGAACCGCAAGCACAACAGGTGCATCCTGGGTGGCAGGATCCTTGTGAACACCGCGCCGAGGCCGTCAAGGTCATGCGCACGGCGCCGGGAGGCCCGATCCCCACAAGCCTGGCCTTATAGGCCTTTGGGCCAGAAGGCTCTCTCTCTCTCTCTTGTAAAATTCAGCAGCTGTTTGTTTGTCGTTTGTTTGTGCACGTCTCTGTATTGTTTTCCTCTGGCAACTGTCCTTAGGCTCAAGGCCTCGATCCAAGGTGCATTGTATGGCACCGTGCAATTGTACATGAACAGTACGAGAGAGTAAATGAACTATTGTAAATGAACTTGTCTCTTGACACCGTCCCTTGGTTTGATTCATTGTGGAATCACACCATCACTACCAACATTGTTGAAAACTGCAAAGAGGCATTATTGTGCTTAAACAGTTCAAAGCATTGAAAGCAAGTCTGTACATCGTTCTGTCATTGTTGCTTCATCGTTGTGCTCGTAGGGCATTGTCATATCTGGAGCCAAGCCGCTTGTAGGACCATTGTCCTAGCCCTCCATGGTGTCGATGGTATTGTCCGGAGTCTCCGAGCTTTGTCGAGGACGTTTTGTCCCTTTTCCATCCTCTTCAGTCTCCGACAGTTCCAAATCAATTGTCCTGTCTCGCTCCAGGATGTAAGCACTGTGCTCGGGATGTCCTCTTTGATGCCGTTTTGGGATTGTCACGTGGAAGGTATCGATCTTCTTGTCGGCCTTGTAGACCCCCACGGCCAATTGCACATCAGGTGGCAATTGTGACTGACCAAATTGGCCAAGATGTGTCAACGCCATCCTGAAGATTGTATGGTGCGGGGAGCTCTCCGTGAGAGTCAACATTGACTTCACGTGCATTGTGTGGCCATACAGCCAGATCCAGCCACTCTCCCAATTGTACTTGTCGAACTTGTCGATGGCGTTGTACCGCAGGTGCGTCACACGCATCTTGTTCATCTCTTTGCTTGTCAGCTGATAGTCAAAGGGTGCATGGATTTGTAATACCTGCACGCTGTATCCTCTCTGGAAAGACGTGACCATCTTTTGTGACTGGTGATGGATCAAATTGTGCTCCTCAAAAGAAATTGCAATCAGCACCGTCTCCTTGTTCGACATTGTGTGTCCTGCCGATTGGTGGTAAGCAAGCCATTGAATGGCTTCCTCGCTTGTTGGGACCATTATGTACTGCTCCCAATTTCCGGGTTTCCGGATTGAACCCGGAAGTTTGTCGATCTTGCCCTCGTCGTTCACCATTGTCCCATATTCGGTCATTGTGACCGCCGAGAACCAGTAGGTCTCATTGTCATCAAGGGCCTGTGCCCATGGTAGGTTCTTGTAGTTCTCGGGGTGCAGGATCGTGCTCTCGATATTGTCCACGTTGTAGATTGTGGACCTCTCGTCCCACAACGAGATTGTGACTCCTGTTGGCAGCCTGCTCTGGTTGTGGTAGTCTGGGATTGTCATCTCCCCTGCCATGTCTCTCGTCAGATTGTTCTTGATGATCTCGATGCAGATTGTCACAGCTTGTGAGAAAAGCGGCTGCGGTCAAAGATGGTTGACAAATTGTCGACCATACATGCATTGTCCTTCAATTCGAAATGCAAAACTTCAAACACATTGTTCTTCGATTGTGCTCCGAAACGATGAAACGAAAGTTGAGCTCATTGTGAAACCAGAGATCTTGTAGTACATATTGTCTATGACATAGTATGCGCATAGTAGCTAGAATAGTGTGCCATGGCTTGACGCGCCCATGTGTGTTGTATACACGCATTGGTGCTGCCACGGTTGTGAAACTGTTTGTACGGCCGCTGTTCAGTTGTGGTGTTGTGGGAATTGAATGCCCGCCATGTAGAGGTGTTTGTTGAGCACCTCTGCCGAGACATACTTCGTCAGTATGTCCGCTGGGTTGTCGTGTGTGCTGATCTTGTGTATTGGTAGTACCCCGCTTTGTACCAGTTGTTGTACGAAGAGGTGCTTCAGATCGATGTGCTTTGCTTTCTTTGACGAGCCAATTCTTGTTGCAATGCTTTTGCCGCTTGTGCTGTCAGTGTGTATGCGAATGTTCACCTTTGTTGTTGTTGCTTCCTTGATGAAGTTTGCTATATGTAGTCCTTCTTGTGCTCCTGTGCCAATTGCATAAAGCTCTGACTCTGCTGATGATAGTGCTACTACTGCCTGTGTTCTGCTTCCAAATTGTACCACTGATCCCATCATTGTCACGATGAATCCGCTTGTTGATTTTCTTGTGCTTGGGCATCCTGCCCAGTCCGCATCGACATAAATGTTGAGGTCGATGGGTTCCTTTGTTGGTGGCGTGTGTGTTGTCCTCAGGATCATCTTGTAATGTTGTGTTCCCCTGAGGTATCGTAAAAGGTGCTTCACCTTGCGCAGGCTTTGTTGTGTTGGTTGTTGTAGGTCTCGTGCCAGTTCTTTTGTCGCAAAGCTGATGTCTGGTCGTGCGTAGGTCAGCCATTGTAGTTTTCCTACTGCTCTCCTGTAGTCTGCATGTTCTTGTGCATCTAAAGGTGCCTCATCGTTTGTGGATTGTTTCAGGGTTGCCGTCCCTGGAGCTGATGCTGGATTGCTTGCTTCCATCTTTGTTTCCTTCAGCAATGTTGTGATGTATTCTGGTTTGAGGCTTACTTCAAGGAGGTCTCCATTGTTGTGTATGTCCCTGCCAAGGAATTGGATTGTCTGACCAATTCCCAATGTGCCGGTTGGTCGTAGTAGTACATGCTTTTGTACTTCCTTGAAAGTCTTGTCGACTTCTTGTTGTTGTCCAAGGAATAGTAGGTCATCCACATAGACCATCACAAACATTGTCTGTTCATTGTTCCTGTTTTCGTTGGGTTCACTTGTCAGTCGAGTCAGTCCCAGTTGCAAAATAATCTTGCCAAGATTTTGGCCTTGATCGTAGTCCAAAAAATGCTTTGTTGAGCTTCCACACTGTGGTTGTGTTGTGACCACTTGGGTATAGTTCTGGCGGTGGCCACATGTAAAGATTGTCAGTCGCTGCTGGTGCATGTAGAAATGCTGTTGACACATCTCCTGCTTGTATTGTCCAGTGGTTGTGCTGTGCCATTGTCAGGAGGATGCGCAAGATCCCAAAGATCGGCGTGCTCGCATAGATGTTGTCAAGGTCTTGGA